ATCATTGCAAAGGGGGAAGCCTTGTTGATCAAATATAACAACTTCCCTCTTTAAAAAATGTTAATTTTTGAGATCCAGATTTTCTGCCTTCAGCGGTCCTCCGTAGAGAGTTAAGATTTGTGACGGCACATGCGAGACACAGCTAGCCACAGTGCAATTTACGCCTTTCCATGATATCTAGATGATTTTTCAGCAAATTATACATGTTTTTCAAGAGAAAATCTTTCCATCCATATATAATTTTTCCATAATTATCAGTGGTTGTGAATTTTCTTTGGGTGACTACTTTAAGCAGTCTGCAATTCAAGACTAGAGTGACTGAGTATGATCCAGCAAAGCGCCAGCGGACCAAGACATTGGCTCGGAGACGTTGTCCGACCAGAGAGAGCTAGCAGAATAATAAATAAGCTCGTTCACGTTTCCCATATTGCATGCATATTGCCTTGATATCGTACTTGGGCTTGCTTTGTCCCCCCAAGGGATAATAGAGGCTGAAATAGGATATTCTGTTTTTCCAATATCTCACCCAATACTGTGATGGATTAGAATAAACAAAAATATTTTTAACATAATCAGACAAAAAAAAAAATTGCGGTTATTCTAGGATTATGTTCAGATGTCAATGTCCTTATTTCATAGTTTTATTTTAATATTTGTAGGTTTTGTACTGGGTTTCTACTAAAGCTTACAGTAAGCTCTATATGTATTCCCTTAGTATAATTGTCAAAAAAAATATTTTTGTTTTGTTTTATTTTCAATATTTTGATATTCATTCATCCACCATGGATATACAGGCCTAAATGTACATGAATCATAACATATATGTTTTCAAAATAATTCAGTTTCAAATAATAATAATAAAAATAATAGCTAGTTCTTATATAGCACTTCTCAGGATCAAAGGCCCTCTCCAAATGCTTTACAGATATATATATATTATTACCCCGGTCATCGGATTCAAATAGTTCATTCTGTTACTTTGTCAATGTAACATTCTGTAAAAATAATTATTTAGAAAGATTATAGAATAACAAGAAATGAAAGGATTATCAAGATCATTTGATTGGACATTTATCTTCCTTTATAAAAACGTCAAAAGAAGACTCCCAATACAAGGAAGTCAGTTTGCAAAATATGTAAAGAAGGGTCTGAAATATCTGGCCTATAGACCACCACTCACAAGCCCTCTTTAGTAGCTGCTGAATGACATCCATTTATGCAAACTAATTACGCTGGACTCCAGTCGTGTTTACTTTTTATGAAGATGTCTTGTACTGAGCCCCAGAAGTGTGTTAATTGTTAACTATACATGCACGTACAGAAAAATATAAACATTAATATTAGAAGCTACAATGTAAAACCCTTATGGATCTTACTAGAAAATATAGTCTTCTTGCACATAAGTTACCGTATATGGGCTTGAAGCCTTGAAAAATGTCAAAATCTGAGTCTGTCCATGCAGACTAGCACCTGACATAGCGCTCAAATCGGTCCATAGTCCATCAGGTGGTTTCAATAGCCCCCCCCCCCCCCCCCAGCTACCCATCCCTATACCATCTCACATATCATAATGAAATACCCCCATCATATGGCCTGCTGTTTTGATGGAGATGCTCGTGAATACTGTTTCATTAGCACAAGTGTCATTGCCCGAGGATGCTAGAGACTTCGTGTCAAAGCTAATCAGGCGCCAGTCCAACGGTATGACCGCCCCCAGTGGCCTATACCATCCCATCGATGACCTGCTGAATATTTTGATTCTGTTTGGATTTAAAACGGCTTCAGGGTAGATGGAGAAATTCCCCTTTCTTCCACCGTCTTCATTCTTGGGAAATTATCTATTAGCACCTTCTTATTCCATCTTATTAAATTTGGTTCTTGTTTACCATTTTCTGAAAATTATTTCAGAATTACTGCCTGCATCCACAAATTCTGTAGACTGAAAATTACTTTCTTCTGTCTTCTGGATGCATTGTCATTTATACTAGCATCTTTGTCATCCAAGTATTCCTTGCAAGCAGGAAAAATTTGTTATGGGATTATTATGGTTATTTCATGCACCTGTGAATGTATAATACCATCTAGACGATTATGACTTATTCATTATTAAACAAGTTCTCTTCCTTCAGCATCACTCATTTCTCGTGCACCTTTCTATCTGACTTTTTGTATTTTCCTTTTACACTGTTTCTGCAATCTTTCTTTCTTAATATTATGCAGTCTCTGAATAACACTTTTCAAAATTTTTCCCTGCCTGGAGGATCGGTTTTGTAAAAATCAAATTCTGGATGGTGGAGGCTTGAGGGGACTTCGATGGTCTTCTGTTAAAATCAAGGCCAGTGGTATTCCCTTGTGGGGGGGGGGGGGGGGGCGCAAGACGCAACATTCAAGAGAACATAGGGGCTAAGCAGGGATAATCAGATTTGTATTCTACCGACATACGTTGCATTCTGTAATTTGAAAACTATTGACTGCACAGGCAAGTTCAAGTTCCTTTTTCCATTCTCTCAATCGGAAAGGGAGAAAGAGACTTAACGTTGGTTACAACTAATGTTTAAAACGATGAGCATTTGTGGCTGGTCAATCTGCAGATTGTATGATTGTAAACAGCCAAACAGAGAGTGAAAAATGGCCGTATACTGCAATGTATGCTATATGTATTAAAGCTCTTGGAGTTACAATACTATGATAATTAGGTAGATGAAACAACTTCTTTTCTTAGGGGATCCAGCTAGGGTACTTGCACTGAATATTATTATTACACTGACTTTAAATGAGCTGCTTTGATGATCGAGTTCTTCAAGCATGGAAGGAATACTTTTGCCTACCCGTGATGAATGGAATAATTAGTGGACTTAATCACAGCATGCCTCTAGTCAGGTTCATATGACATTGTGATAACTTTAAGTTTAGATCGTGGTTTTAAACGTTAAAGTTATCTTGTAGTTACGGACCTTGTGAACGCACTCATGGTTACAAAACTTTAGGTTGACTCTAAGTTACAAACCACATCCAATCAATCTTAAGGTTAGTGCAGTAGCTACAAGCAGCAGATACGGGGGGTGGGGGGGGGGGGGGGGGGTTCTCACTCAAAGTTATGCTTTTAGTTAAAATGAATGCTTCTTCAGTTTATAGTTTACAATTTTGAATACTAATTTTTGTTCGGTCAAGTGTGAACCCTCGTCGTTGTTAGTGTATCGTTGTTTATAACTTGAAGGGTTATCAAATTTCTAGTTCAAAACTATGACAACCCGGTGTCATGTGAACATAGCTTCTGATTGTCTGTCTCCCCATGAGGCTGATACAGCAAAGTTAATCACCAGCACCATTGATCATTATATGCCCATTTCACATTGAAGATCTTACCCGGGTCAGCCTACGGGTTGACCCAGAGCTGTCAGCAGGTGGCTTCCTGCCAGTGATGAATGGTATCATGAGTGGAATTAATATTTGTATGCGCCTCCCAATTAAGCTGTATCTCCTCATGAGGCAAATAGAGGACACTTAATCTCATTGACAATTATATGCCACTTTCACATTGACCATCAGATCTGATAGGAATTGGTACTACATGTAAGCAGCATGGATGCCTGTTGTCAGATACAGAGTTTTTTGCATAATGTGTTTGAATTACATCAATCGTTTTTTAAATAAGGTCAAAAATTATATTTAGAGGAAAAATGTATAATTTCCATAAAAGCTAAATAGACTGGTTTACTGACGTATTCAAATTGTGCGCATACTGTTAAAAAAAGTCTTGACAATCTGAAAACTTGCCTGAGGCTTGCCAAAATACCAATAAATAATTTAATGAACTGATTTCCAAATATTGTAGTTCGTTCATTAATAACAGGCAAATGGAATACCTCATCACTAGGCTGATCCCCATGAAAGAAACATCCATGAATGTGAATATGTTTGTCAACTGGTGTATTAGGTGTGTGGCAGAGTTACCATACAAGATGATTGATTCTATTTGGTTCAAAACCATGTGAAAGGAGCCATCTTGAATTAGTATATTCCACACAAGTCTAACACATAAACTCTCAGATTATCATTGCTCCAATAGGAATATGATGTTCCCAGGGTCCCTTTGCATCCCTCGCTCATCTTGCCCTCCTAATCAATCATAAATGCTAATCATTGCTGCCCAGATGAAACTAATACACGCCCCGTGGCAAACCTAATGATGTTTTCATTACTGCATATCAATAAATTTGTATATTTATAATGTACATGTTAACTGTAAGTCGATCCCATTGTAGAAAATGAGGATCATTCCTGCACTCCTGCTGGACGTAGTGGTTAGCAGATACAGTTAGCTTTTTAATAGAATATTTTGTATTTTTTAAAATATGGACCAAAGAGTGTGAAAACCACACGTCTGTTCTACACCTCTTCTTGCTTCTCGAGAGCTATCTTCCTGGGCTCCACTCAACCAGATAATTTTCATTTCGGCACATTTGCCACTCTCCACCCAGGTGTTAAATGGGTACCGGTGGGAAGGAATTCCTTGAATGCTGTAAGTGCTGAAATTAGCTGCCTAGCAGAGCCAGGGTAATAGTTGGAGCGCCTTGAGCACCATGCATAGTGGATAACTGGATATGTGCGCTTTATAAATATCCAATATTATTTATTGTCATTTCAGTTTCATTCCTTATTGTAATTTTTTAAATATATATAAAGTATGTTCACATGGCGTACCTCAATTATATGTCCTGTAGGTACATTTATATGTATAATTTTGTTTGCAATTACTCAAACCAGGGCAGGGTTTCATGAAACTGCCATATGTCCAAGTTTGCCAACAACCCACGAAAACAAGTTTATCAAATCAACAAGCATTTCAATGGGATGTCTTCGGACTTGTGTTTAAGATGGTTTAGTGAGACAATGCCCTGGTTCACTTAGCAATCATCCCTTGTCTCCTCCCATCTCTCATCCTTCTCACTTTCTTCTCTCATCCATCTCACGTTCTTCTCTTGTTCTTCTCTCGACAGATCCACTCCCTACAGGGTTTCTTCAAGGATGACGATGTCTTCATAGCCTACGGGCAGGAACGCTTCTGCCATGACGATTTTGAACTTGCCATGGACGGTAAGTATACCACTCCAATATGCGGGAGGGCGGGCATAGATCCGTCCAGACCATCTAGCCCAAAAATATTAAAGAGAATTATAGGTTGAGTTCAGGGGAGAGGTAAAAAATAATTTGTGAGTGTTATCATTGTTATTATGCAAGTGTGGAAGAACATCAGAGCAAAAATGTTCCCTGAAAAGCATGCATGGCTCTTCAAATGCCTTTATATTCTCAATATGACAAGTAATAGCTTTGAAATGAGGCCCAATTCTTATGCCACATTTTTATGTGTACAGTGCTTGTTACTTTACCAAGACTGGGTCAAATTTCTTATCATTTTGATGACTCCAGAACCCAGCAGTACACACCAATACTTATAAGTTACATGAACAACTTTTTCTGATCGATTCCACACCATTTCTTTCACAGTGCAATCGCATGACCAGAACTCAACTTTATCTTTAAGGATGATAACCCCAAAAAGAGAATGATTTTTGCTTCCGGTCAGAATGCAGTAATTTCATGAAAATGTGGAAAATTACTTGCAGCATTTTGTCCATGTCTTGAATTTTGGGGATGCACGTATGTACCCTAGAAGGTATAATCTGAGGCAGGCAGGCATTGAATCTGTCTGAAATATCTTGTCTTGTTCCACTACCCCAAAAATATAAAAGATGATGACAAAATAAGAATGAGTTTTGCTTCAGATGGGAATGCAGCGAATTCATGAAAATGAGAGAAATTGCTTGCACCATTTTTACATGCGTTAATTATTTTGAGATGGCTGTACTGTAGAAGAGTCTAGCGGGCATTGAATCTGTCTGAAATATCTTGTCTTATTCCACTACCCAAAAACATTTAAGGATGCAAATACACTTTTGCCGAAGGTGGGAATGCACTGAATTCATGAAAATGTGGGAAATTGCATAAAGAAGTTTGTTATGTCTTTAAAAAAAATTTGAGATGCATGTATTTGTAGAAGATATAATCTGAGGCAGGCTGGCATTGAAATCTGTTCAAACCATCTTCTGGCAATGGCGAATCTGTAGCCTAGGGTGAAAAGAGAAACAAGGGGAGAAAACATGACAAATACAAATCTTTGCATGTTTGCTGTAGGTGGGAATTAATGTTAATGGAGCAGCCCTCAGGTCAATACATTCATGAAAATTTGGAAACCGTTTCACTATTTTTTTGTCATGTCTCAAATGTTTGATATATATTAGGCCTGGAATCTACAACATGAAATGTCTGAATGCTGAACCCTCAACAAAAATTGAAAATTCTTGTTTTGCCTCATTTGATTTTGCTTCTATTTATTGTATCCTTTGAACATGTATTTAGCATCATCGGAAAGCCTGTCCATTTTTCAGTTAAACTTTGCTTCATTCATGACTATAGTCATGCTTTTATAGAATAGAACAGCACAAGTCAGTTTAGATATATGTGACATAGCTACTTGCCTACGTTGAACAGTATATTAGGATGTTGATTTGAGAGATACGACTAAATGCCGTCACATTATTCACATAAACATTGAGTGTAATTAGCTCTACTACTCCAGATATCATAGCTCCAATTAACTCTGATATTTACATTTCCGACATTAATGAAATGCAGCATCTTGAGAACCCAAAGATCCTTTCTATTCGCTCTTGGGAGTCCAGCTGTCTCTGCGTAAGATGACATTCAGTCGTCGTCTCGTTCCATCCATCGATCTTCCTCTTAATTTGTAACCCGAGTACAGAAATTTGATTCTAAAACGCTGCCTGCCATGGTACTCTTGGCGCGAGTGCTGTAGCCGCTTCGCTGAAATCAACATCGTGTTTAGGCGTACATGTGATTTAGGAGAGCGGCATAATATAAGGCTTGACATTTCTAGCTCATGGAGCCACATTAGGCCTGTCCTCATCAGCTCGAGATAGCCAAATATCCCGCTATTTTAAGTATTCCGATCGCAAATTATCCAGCTAGTTTGCGTCTTCATCAGCCTGCAGCTGCATTTAGCGGGATATTTGGTCGAGATAATCATCCCAAGACATCTTGGGCTAGTTGGCAAAATATCCCGCTATTTGTCCGGTGCTTCTTCAACAGTCAGAAGCCTCGCACTATGCGCGAACGCTGATCAAAATATCTCGAGCTAATTTCTTGAGCTCCAGTTTTGAGTTTCGAGGTTGAGTCTTGAGCTGTTGAAGAGGTGATTTGTAATTTTGGGCTTATTTCCTCAATCAGAAATAGCGGGCTGATCTCGAGCTGATGAAGACATACCTAGAGAGAAACATTCTAGCTCACGGAGCCATGTTGCTCAAAATGAGACTACCTATGAGTGATTTCAATGGGCAGGTGGTCTGCATGTATAAATGTTCCCAGTATATGCTACAAATGAATAATTTTTATTAGAAGGAAAATTCAAAGAAGTATGAAACATTAATTAGTGTAGCATTTAAGATGACTTTTACAGGTAGTTACTGCTTGTATGATATTGAATTTGAAATCATTTCTGTAATTAAATAAGAGTGTATCTTGGCAACAGCAGTGCAATAAAGAGGATAATTCTTAGTAGGGAATTATACTGCATTACATTCATATACTAAATTGTATTTAGTACATTTTTTGTCTATATCTCCAGCACGCATGTATAGCTATTACATTGCAGTTATATGTATTCCCCCTTCTCAGTATCTCCATGACCTTTGACCCTCCTGTGTCCACCATTATGACACACAGTAGTCTATACAGCTTTCTGACTTTGATGATATAAATTAAATCACAGGCAAACTCAGTGCATGTACATGAACAGCGAGAATAAGATATTTAAAAAATCTTTATGAGATAATATAAGTGTTAATTTTGATCTGAAATACCATCTATTTGGGGCTGCAAGGGTGTTGACTCTCCGATAAAGCAATTCATGCCCTAATGGTTCTTTATTATAGACGTGTACCCTAGCTACCATGTATATTCTACTTGAGAATATGCTTGTGCCTTATGGTATGACCTACACTTTGGCTACAGACAGTGCGACTGCTCTCGCAGACGTTCACATCCTCCCTTAGAAATATGGATGAATCAGTGCTGTGCAATTAGGTTGCTCTGACTAACTTTATGACTTGGTCGTTTGAGAGGATGGTTGCTTTATTCATTTATTTATTTATTTATTCAAAGCTCTTGATCTCATTAGCTTTATGCAAGGCAATAACCCCTAATCCCTCGCTCAGAAAAGAAGAAATACAAAATCGGTTCTTCAGCCAACCGATAAGTCGCAATCTTCATGAGATGAAATGACAATGCAGGTGGCATATATACTCTAAGTAGTTTGGGTGAATTACAATATCTTCAACAAATTTCTCATAATGAAGGCGAATACTAAACTCAAAACTCACTGATTTTGTGTAGGCGATTATTGCCTTGAATCTAAGTCACTACTAATTAGGTTGCTTGATATGACCAATTGTATGACATGGTCGTTTGAAAGGATGGTTGCTTTATTTTCAAATTTTTAAATTGTATTAGTACTTGATCTCAGTTGCTTAATGCAAGGCAATTATTCCTTACTAATAAAAGAAGAAATACATAATTGTTTTTTCAGCTAACCGAGACATCGCTATCTTCATAAGATGAAATGACAATGCAGGTGAAATATATACTCTTAGGTAGTTCGTGTGAATTACAATATCTCCAGCAAAATACTCGTAATGAAGGCGAATACTAAAGTCAAACTCAATAGTTTTGTGCTGGCGATTATTGCCTTGAACTTAAATCAGTGCTGTGCAATTAGGTTGCTCTGACCAACTTGATGACATGGTTGTTTGAAAGGATGGTTGCTGTATTTTTTTTAATTTGTGTTAGTTCTTGATCTCATTTGCTTAATGCAAGGGAATTATTCCTCATTCCTTGCTAAGAAAAGAAGAAATACAAAATCTGTTCTGCAGCTAAAAAGATATGTCGCTTTCTTCATAAGATGAAAATGCAGGTGGCATTTTTTTAAGCAGTTTGGGTGGGTTATGATATCTTCAATGAAATACTCATAATGAATGGGAATACAAAACTAGAAGCTCCATAATTTTGTGTATGCAGTAGTAGTGATAAACTCAACATTCAGCATGTTATAGTTACTGTCTTCATGAGATAGCGATGTCATATTAAAGATGCATGCAGTATTGCTCTAATACTAATCCGACCCCACTCCCCCCCCCCAAAAAAAAAAAAAAGAATCACAGGATCTCCAAGTGACATGACCCTCTATCCCCTCCCATAACTCATATCACCTGATCAGAGAACCGCTTCCTCTAAACAATGGCATCCAAATTTTACTTGCATGCAAGTCAAGTTTACCTGTCTTCGTAAGATATGAATTTCATGAGCTGGCCTTTCGTATTGATCTTCCCTTCCCATTTTGTATTGCTAGTAGGAATTTTAGCTGTAGGAGCTAGAGTCATGATTCAATTCAATTATTTCAGTCTTACGATTGGCGCTGGGTGTCTAAACTTGACCTTCCCCTGACCTATTCCCACATGCACCACCCAGCATTTATTGCCACCTAATAGTGGAACCACCTCCAACAATCTCATCCAAAGTGAAATTGCATACAAGTCACATATTTTTCAATGTCATAACTTGATTGTTCTTTGACTGTTAACCCCCATCCACACACCCACACACACACACACACGCAAGCCCTCGACCACCAGACATGATTCAGAACCACCTCCAACAATCTTATCAAAATTATAATCGCATACAAGTCACATGTATATTCCAAGGTCATAACTTGACTATTCCTTGACTGCTTCCCCCTCTCTCCCCTGCCCACACACACGCACATGCACGTTTTCACTTACACACACACACACCCTCACCAGACATGATTACAGAACCACCTCCAACTATCTCATTCAAATTAAAATTGCATACAAGTTGCATATTCCAAGATCATAACTTGACCATTCCTTGACTGCCCCTTGACCGTTCCCAACCCCATCCTAACCCCACCCCCTACACACACACACACACACACACAC